CTGGCTGAACCCAGCACAAATGTTTTCACTGGAGTGAGAGTTGACAGTTTAAAAAGTTTGTTGTGGGCAAGGGATAACAAACGCTTTTTGTGCTTAAGAGTGGAAGTAGGAGAAGAGGCTATTTTGGTTTATCACAGGTTGGTGATTTGTGATGAAAGCTGAGTTTGGATTGGGAAAACAGAAAGTGGTCTAAAATCAAAAAGCTGAAAGTATTTGTGTTCTTTATCTAGTTAAGAACAAATGTCAGCAGTCCACAGTTAATTTTTGTGAGAGGCAGGGCATAGTAACTGAATACAAACTTAACCGCTTCTGCAGCATAAGGCTGAGAGGTAGCACATCTTTCTGCTCAGGTTTCTGCCCGACTGATTGAACGGTTATAACTTCAGAGCTTATAAAAACTACAGTTTTAGGAAGCTAAAACCACAAGACTGGAACAAGACATTTTTAGTGAGTGTGCTAACATAAAGCTGCATCCTCTCTGTAAGGACCAGGTAATAGCTTACATCCCTGTCATGGCATTTAACTGCTTCTGAATTTACCTGGTTCACAGGCAGAAAATAGAAAGTTATTTGCACAAACTTTAGTGCAAAAAAGTGTCCTCAACTTCCTGGTGTTGCACAGGAGAGAATGACTTGCTGAAGCAGGGCAGTGTTACAGCGGGCCTGGCATTCCTCCTGGCATTTCTAGTGGTTAGGTGGCAGACACAGGGTTTAATCCCTTAGCCACTCACCAAATCAGCAGGGAGCTAGTGACCAGTTTGTCCAATAACCTCATAAATTCCTCCCAGCCACAGATCTGCTTCCCTTTTTCTTCTAAGCCGCAGTTTCTCATGCTGTTCTTGCTGTCTCTGTCCTTGGCTCATGCCTGCTGGTTTGGCTGGCTGCATGCTGCCACCTATCACCGCTTTCTGGTGATGCTTTCTGCAGAAAACCAGTACGTAGGGAGCAAGGCAGAACCCCTTGTTACTATTTCTGATGAAAGCCAACATTTTGGTACATTTAGCTACTTGCTTTACTACTTTTATGGAAGGGTGTATGGAATCTTTTAAACTGCATCGTGCTGTGGATGTGTTTTATTTCTTCCCAAACGTAATTAATTTCAAAACTGCTATCCCTGGAGCTGCAGAGCTTTTTCTGTAGTTGTCATGTCCTGTGCTCTGGACAGTCTTGTTCTGGCTGTGCAGAGTGAGTAGAGGTCAAGCAGAAGATGCCTAGGCTGTCTCCTGCTGCAGGGATTTTAGGATTTTGAGATACCTTTAAAAGATGTTCTTTATTAGAGCGCCTATTGGTGGTGGTATTTATGTGATTTCACAGGTGATACAGAAGTGCTAGGGAATTTGTTTGGTTTGGTAAGTGAAAATAGGACTGCTGTGTAATTATTGTGCTTGGATGGTAGGATCTTTGCCCTTTTTTTTTTTTCCTTCTTTCAGTATACACATTTCAAAAGTTGACATTTTGGTTATTCAATTATTTGTAGATCACAGATCATCATGTCTAGAAGAAGAAGAGCTAAATTTGTTTATTGATGTGGACTGTATGCATACAGAAGCAATTATGACTCCTATGCCTGAAGGATTATCACAGCAGCAGGTAGTAGCTTTTTGGAAATATGGTTATCTTCCTCTTCTTCCTCCCCTTCTGCTCTACATCAGTGACTCCCAGGTGCCTTGCTCTTCAAACATACTGGCATTTAACATAAATTGAGTGGATATCCCATTCAGAAATGAATAAGTAGCTTCTTGAAAGTTGGTGTGTGTGCATGTAGAGGCATCAGTCCTGAATTCAGAGAGACAAGCAAAATGCTGTTTTGCATTATAATACCATCTATAATAATTGTATTGTTTCACTACCTGAACGCTTAAACTAAATGTGACAGCGTTGAGTGAAAAGAAAGAGTTTAAACATTTTTGAGTCAGAAGGCATTGCTCCAGGACTTCTGTTTTGAATGTAGAGAGTATCTTGTATGCTTTCTGAATCTTAAGGTTTCTCCTGATTAAAACAAAAAACGTGTCCCCAGTTAAAACAAAACCCTTGTCCCCAGTAAAGTCAAGTCTACAGAAGAGTCTGTTTTGCTGTTCTCCACCTCAGACTCTATAGTCATTGTGGAAACCACTTCAAAATCACTGAAATCAGCATCAGTTAGAAATTTGGGCTGAAAATAAATCCTGTGGGTTCATGTTACTCTATTGTTATGACAAGTAATAACTATAGTACAGTTTTTAGCTTCTTGTGGTGTCAAGTCATGAGTTGGTCAGTACCTTCACAAAATGAAGGTGAAGAAGACCCACCAGGACAAAGGAAGGGGCAGTTGAGGAAAGTGGTGGAAGTTTTTTGGTTTGCTTGGTGAGGTCTATTTTTCTAATGTGTTTAGCCCAGTGAAGTACTAATCTGGTAACAATACCAAACTGTGTTACATTACGGTAAAATTTCATTATAATTTAAGATCTCAGCATCAATCTGAATGCTGACTTTTCCTTCTTTCCAAATAAGGGTGCGAGAGTTTCACTGGCTTGTTTTGTAGGCAATTAAAAATAAACATACCGTCTTTTGGAAAAGCAGAGTGTCCATAATTTGGTGCAAACCAGTAGTTGCTGTTGTGTAGGTCATGATGCATGTTGCCTGTCTACCCAAGGAGGAGCTGCCCAACTTGCCAGGAACAGAGTTTGGAAAGCCAAAGCTCAGTTGGAGCTAGGGAGGTTTGAAGGGCAACGGTGAAAGGTTTCTTATATGTACATTGGCAGAAAAAGGAGGGCTGAGGGAAAAAAATGGGTCTGCTGCTTGCTAAGGCAGGGACCTAGTGACAAAGGGCACTGAGAAGACCTAGGTACTCAGTGCCACCTTTGCCTCAGCTCTTGCTGTCGAGGTTTGTCCTCAGGCCTCGGAAGGCCCTGAGCCTAGGGACGGGTCACTCCATTACCTGCAGTTAGGGGGTAGGGGAGGCCAGGTGGTGTCTGTGGGACACCATGGGACATATGGTAATGGGTACAAATTGAAATCAGGGAGGTTTAGATTAGATGTCAGGAAGAAATTCTTCACAGAGGGGGTGGTGAGGTACTGGAACAGGTTGCCCAGGGATGTTGTGGATGCCCCCTCCCTGGATGTCTTCAAGGCCAGACTGGATGTGGCTTTGAGCATCCGGGTCTAGTGCAAGGTGTCCCTGCCCATGGCAGGGGGGTTGGAACTAGATGGGCTTTAAGGGCCCTTCCAACCCAAACCATTCTATGATTCTATATCAGATGAGGTGGGTTAAGGGTGCTGAGTGTAAGGCCTTTCTCTGTCTTCTAAGATCACAGTGATCAGAGAAGACTGGAAAAAGATAAATGTCACACTCTCATCCTCAAGAAGGGTAAGGAGGAGGATCCAGGCTGGCCGCACCTCAGTCCCTGTGAAGGTGATGGAGCAAATGCTCCTGGGAGCTGTTTCAGTGTTCAGAAGGACGGGAGCGGGATTGGGAGCAGTCAGCATAGATGGACCAGAGTCCATTTGTGCCTGACCAGCTTGATCACTTGTGAGAGGCTGGCTGTGGACAGAGGAGAGCAACAGACAACATTTACCGCTGCTCTAGCAAGGCTCTCAGCAGTCTCCTGAGCTACCTTATAGCCGAAGAGGTGAGGTACAATTTGTGTGGGTGGACTAGAAGTTGGGTGTCGAGGACACCGTGCTCAGAGGGTTGTAGTCCATGGTACAAAGTCCAGCGGGCGGCCATCGTTAGTGGTGTCCCTCAGGAGCAGACACGGGGCCCGTGGTGTTTAATGCCTTTGTTAAGGATCTGGATAGCAGCTGCGGTGCACATGTGGAGGTGACGCCAAACTGGAGGGGGTGCAGCAGGCCACGTGTGGGAGGTGGGTCAGCGTGGCTTTGATGGGCTGGTGTTGACAGAAAACCTCAAGCGGCTCAACCCACACAAGTCCTGGCTCTGGGATGGAGCTTACCCGATGCCTCTGCACAGGCTGGGGGCTGGCAGACTGCACAGTAGGCCTGGGGTCCCAGCTGGAGCGGGTGGAGGGCAGAGAGGGGCTCTTTCCAGCCTGGGGTGCTCACCAGGAACGAGCTGACTGTGAACCTGCTTGTTTTAGACAGCAGGTGGCACGATGGCTGTGGTTTAAAACCGGGCGCCTGTTTAAACACTCTTGCCCGGCGTTGGGTCTCAGCCCTGACAGCTTCTGCTTCGTTTTAATACCGGGGCCTGAATTTTTAGGATAAGTTATTCGTGTTTGTATGCCACTGTTACATTCGCATTCACATTTTTGCTGGTAAGGCTTGCACGCAAACCCCTTGTACGCTATGCGTATCTCTTGCAATTACCTGTAGGCACTATTAGATGTTTGCTTTGTGTATTTTAGTTTTCAGAACCTGAAAAAAACGTTTTCTACAAATGTGTATTCTTTTTGGAAGAATGGACTGTGACTAAAAGTAGAGTTAGTGTTCTTTACCAGAACAGCTGATGCATTATAACAAATAAGACACCGCTAAATCCATTCTAAACACAATTAGACACAAATAATTTTACCGTGTATATCTTTAAGCAAGGCCTCAGATAGTTTTGTATTCTTCCTTTGAAATGCCAGTACTTGAAAGAAAACCCTTGCGTAACCTGCACTGAACTTAATAATATAAAATACAAGTGTGGAGAATTGAAGGCAGCTGTGGCAGAGGAGGCAGGAGGCTGTGGGGACCAGGAGCAGAGAGAAGCAGGTCTAAGATCTGGGTTTCATGGTCATTTGGGCTGGCTTAAAATAGCAAAAGAAGCAGTTTTGCCTTCCCTTGTAGTTGTGGGTAGTGGTTTGATCCTGCCCTTGTGGTGTCTTCTTCCTCAGAGTCCTGCTTTTGAAAGTCCTGGGATGAGCAGCATTAGGAAATGGATTTGGGTTGAAAACAAATCCTTAAAACCAGCAAGAAATATAATCAATAACTATAAGAAGTTTATATTTTAAACCAAATAGGTTCCCCGGTCCTTCCTGTCGTTTGTCCCGCACACTCATACAAGGTGTGTTTCAGCTGAATTGCAGAAGCGGGAGGTGGAGAAGGTGTCATAAATAGCCTGTAGTTTGTAAACATGGAATATGGTAGTATTTCCTGAAGCTCTTACAGCTCTGTCAATTGGTAGGAATATAGATGAGACAGGATTTTCACCTGTGTATGGTAATGCCCAAAAAAGAAAGTTGACTTGCTCAGATACTTTCTCAGTGGTACAGTTTATATGGGCCTTACTTTAAAAAGGCAATTAACATTTGCTTGTTTGTCTCTCATGTTACTCCTAATGAATTTATAAAGCAGTAGAAAATTAATCTTGAAGACTGATTTTTGAAAGCTGGTTACCTGTTTTGTTGCAGCAATTCACCGAAATAGCCATCATCTATTATTATTATTTACATTTATGCCTGAATTTATAAATCTTAAATTAATAACACCAGTTTCAAAATTAAAGCTTGGAATTGCAATGCTCAGCAAAGATTACAGATGTAGGTACAATAATTGTCGCGTTTTTTAAATAAAAAATTTAGAGTAATAGTACATTTAATTACTTTTGTAGAGGTACAGCATTATTTTATTGCAGTTTCAGTATTGAAATTGCCTTGTGTTTCTTGTGTTTTATTAATATGAGAATCTTATCATCAGTATTCCCAACTATGATGAACATGTTGCCTGATAAGAGCTTCAGACACCTTTGTTCCTTGACAGGTTGTGAGAAGGTATATTCTGGGCTCTGTAGTTGACAGTGAGAAGAATTACGTGGATGCTCTCAAAAGAATCCTGGAGGTACCTTAACATCTTTTGCATTTTATAATTTGTAAATATGAAAAATAGTCAAATCCTTAAAGAATCAGTAGCATGATTGGCCTAGATTTTGCTACAGATGCTTCATGCCAAATCTTTAGATATGTTGTATGTGTGTATATTGTTACGTAAGTTGGGGTTTTTTCTGCTTATAGAAGATGATTTTGTTTCTTTGTTAAAATCTTTCTTTTTTTCTTTTTTTTTTTTTTTCCCCTACAGCAGTATGAGAAGCCCCTTTCAGATATGGAACCAAAATTACTGAGTGAAAGAAAACTCAAAATGGTCTTTTATCGAATTAAGGAAATTCTTCAGTGCCACTCAATGTTTCAGATTGCACTGGCGAGTCGTGTATCTGAGTGGGACTCTGTTGAAATGATTGGTGATGTCTTTGTTGCTTCAGTAAGCAAATGCATCCGAACAGATAATCTGTTTTTATTTTAGACGTCTTATTCCATCTCCATATCTCTCTGTCTAACTCGGCTGCTTTATTCCCATATTCTCCGATGCCTGTGGCAACTGTCAGAGTATGTATGTACCATCCTGGTAAGGGAACTGACACCAACATGTGTCTTTGGCTTGGCTGGCCAAAGATGGGAAAGGATTGTGGGCAAAGTTTTCGAGCTTTGATGACGCTTTCAGACATACAAGTAAACAGTTTCATTTTCTGAGGAGATAGAGATTCAGAAACCCATCAGAGGTGAGACTGAGGCTCAGCATTGTAGGTAGACACACACAGGTGTTTGCTGGGAGTAGAAAAAACCCACAGTAGGTGATGCCCTGAGTTCCAGTATTTGGGCTGAGCATGGGGCACAGGTAAAGAGTATTTATAAAACAATGTTTGGCTCTTAATGGAAGTTGACCTAGTAAAGGACTGAACTACCCACTGCTTTAAATTAATTAATTAAACTAATTAAATAAATTAAACTAATTCGTCTACTGGTAGACAAAAAACTGAACATGAGCCGGCAGTGTGCGCTGGCAGCCCAGAAAGCCAACCGTATCCTGGGCTGTATCAGGAGAAGTGTGGCCAGCAGGTCGAGGGAGGGGATTCTGCCCCTGTACTCTGCTCTGGTGAGACCCCACCTGGAGTGCTGCGTCCAGCTGTGGAGCCCTCAACATCAGAAGGATATAGACCAGTTGGAGTGAGTCCAGAGGAGGCCACAAAGATGCTCAGAGGGCTGGAGCACCTCTCCTATGGGGACAGGCTGAGAGAGTTGGGCTTGTTCAGCCTGGAGAAGAGGAGGCTCCGAGGAGACCTTATTGCAGCTTTCCAATATCGGAAGGGGGCCTACAAGGATGCTGGGAGAGGACTTTTTACAAGGGTCTGTAGTGACAGGACAAGGGGTAACGGGTACAAATTGAAAACAGGGAGGTTTAGATTAGATATCAGGAAGAAATTCTTCACAGAGAGGGTGGTGAGGCACTGGAACAGGTTGCCCAGAGAAGCTGTGGATGCCCCATCCCTGGAAGGGTTCAAGGCCAGGCTGGATGAGGCTTTGAGCAACCTGGTCTAGTGGAAGGTGTCCCTGCCCATGGCAGGGGGGTTGGAACTAGATGATCTTTAAGGTCCCTTCCAACCCAAACCATTCTGTGCTTCTATGATTCTATGAAAACAAGAAGTGGTCTTGTTTGATTGAAAGACTTTGTTCCCTCTGCGAGTGTGTGGGTGGAAAAAGCTGCCTAGCTGCTGGTTTGAGTGCTGTTCTGTTAACCACCCAGCAGCTGGAAATTACCCCCTTTTCATGTCTGCTGTAAGAGAGCTGGGATTTGTCTCTGAGTGCTTTCATCCCATTTCTGTCAAAATGAAATGGTTACTAAGGATTTGGTGTTTTAAACCTGGTTTGGTTTTTTTTTTTGACTGAAGTAGGCCTGATAGTGTTAATGGTACCAGCTCTGCAGAAGGCAGGGATAAAGTTACTAAGGACAGCGATCTTACCCTTCATATGGCTCTGCAGGCCACACCATCTCTTTGCTTTCCTGGTAAACCCTTACCAGCTGAAGATGGGGCATGAAGGCACTGGGATTTTGGTGGTTCACCAAATCTGGAAGATAAGCAGGTGTGAGAGGACCAAGGGATCCCAGCAGCTGCTTTGAATTTCAGTGGATGCCCTTTGATTGCCCATAGTCCCCAGCCTCTGCCCTGGTGTCTTAGCCAAGATGAAGCTATTTCTGTAAATTTACGTTTTGTAATTCGTAGCTGTTATGTCTTTAGGTTTCCAACCTGTTGTCCATAGAAAGGCTATTTTGGGCATCACTGGTATTTCTGTAGGTCGAGCACTAGGCCAAGCAAAGCCCTTAGCTCTAGCAAGGCAAGTCCTTAACAGTAAGAGATTTAGGAGTTATGCTTTGAGGGATCTTTTTATATTTATAGTTAAAGTTTACTGTTTTATTTTTTTCAGTTTTCTAAATCTATGGTATTGGATGCGTACAGTGAATATGTAAACAACTTCAGTACAGCAGTAGGGATTCTCAAGAAAACATGTGCCACCAAACCTGCCTTTCTAGACTTCTTAAAGGTGAGTTTGTTCAATCTTAAAACAGCTGGGTATATGATATAAATATGGCAGTATAAATTATAAGTTAGGAGGAGATTTGACTGCTGATACTGTATATTGTGCGACTGTTTTAAGGACTTTGGTTTTATGTTTTATGGGTTTGGCAGAAAGAAAATCCCCAGAGCATTCACTTCCACTGCTGTATTTTCAGATAAATAACAATGTTAGATGTAGAATGTATTTTGATGTGCAGGGTGGTGTTGTTCAGATGACTGTAGTTGGCAGAACATTGAGATTCTTTTGTAGCAGGTGAGCTTCAAATAATAGTTCACCATCTAAGGCCTCTTCTTATTTGGGCTTTATTTTACTTCTAACTTCTTTATTGTATCGTGCAGAGCAGTGCAACTAGATTTCTGTCCCACAGCAATTTCCTAGTATTTGGAATGTCATGTTTCGAGTTTGGAGTTGAAATGGAAATTTTGTGTGCAGAATGTATACTACCCTGATGAATACGATGCTTCTGGTGATGTGCATTGAGAGCCTGGTACACGCAGTAGAAGTGCTGCAAATCCCTGGGGATGATACCTTACAGTGGGCACACAAAATCCATTGAAAGGCTTTTAGGCTGTTTGTGGTGCTGCTGAGAGCCTGGAAGCTCTGCTTGTCCTGTTCCCAGAGAGTCCTGGATTGAGTTGTGCCTCTCGGAGCTGTCACCCTCTCAGGTCTTGCAGTGATAAGCCAAACCCTGAAACTGGCTGCCCGAGGCAAGCCAGATAGTGAAGCTCTTTGCTTGCCTAAAGGGGGCTGGCAGAGAGGCCAATTCCTAATCTGTCTTCAGATCTTAAAATTAACTAAGAACATTTTGGAGTGTGGCCAGCATCACACAGGATTACATTCTGGAAGCCTTAGGCACCACGAAGATCAAACTCTAGTGAGGGTATAGTCACTTCATACCCCTCACACTGTTAAAAGCCCGTTGTTCCAATGGAGGCATAGCCTTCACCTCTCAGAGCTGCTTGCCATTCCCAGTGCTGGTGCTGCTCAGAGCTGGGGACTCACAACTGAACTCTGAGGACAGAAGACGTTTCTGTACCCTCCAGGTTTTTTTTTTGTTTGCCCACCAGCAACAAAGACCAGACTCTTCACTGCTGTTGTTTGGGGAAAAAAGAATATGTTTGTGGAGTGTATGATGGAAACATGTTGTGTAGCTGATATTTGTAGCAATAAACAGCAATTTAGGGATAACATCAGTTTAATATGGTTTGGGTTTGCTTTGTTTTTAATGTTGAGTATTGCTTCTACTCTGCTTATTCTGCGTCAGCTGTGATTATGGCCAAAATATTTCCAAACGTGGAAATGCCTTACACAAACAGGGCTTTTCTGCACATGCAAATGAAATTTGTCCGGTTTTATCTGCCAGTCCTGATAACCAAAATAATGGATTCCTATGTTTTTCTTTCCAAACATAAATCAGTGTTCTTTTCCGTAGTTTCTTTTAATAAAGAAAATGAAAATCTCTTTTTGTTTGCATAGCACTGAGATTATGATGTTTTCCTTAGATTTCCTCTTAAAAACACATAGGTGGTTAGAGATTTATAGTCTCCTAGCCCCAAGAAACAGAGCGGCAATAGTAAATTAAGGACTGTAAATCAACAGATCGCTTACATTTTTCAAGTTTAAGACCTTGAACAAGTACATTCCCTTTGTTGTGCTTGAAGTTAAGCAGATGTTTCAGTGCACTGCTTATGTAAAAAGCACGACTGCTGTATCGAGATGTACGTAGGCCCTGCATCGCTGCTGCGGCTCATCCCAGCTGTTAAGTATTTAAGGAGGAGATGTCAGTTCAGTGACATGCCATCATTTTAATAGTGATTTAGGTTTTTTAAAAGGTTTTAAAATGAAAACTTTATAGTAAATGGATCTTTACAGTACCACTGTAATCATTAATGTAAATCTTGTAGTTGTTTCAGGAAACGTTTTCCTTTCATGCTCTAACCGATGGAAATACGCTCGTGGTAGTAAACAGTGTGGCTTTCTTGCATTGCAGCAGTGCCAGGAGTCAAGTCCTGATCGCATTACGCTGTATGGTTTAATGATGAAACCTATCCAGCGCTTTCCACAGTTCATTCTGCTATTGCAGGTAAGTAATGCTTACCAAAGGGATGGTCTTGTTGCATTCTTCGTGGTTTGCTTGTGGGATTGCATGGGAGCTGTCCTCTGCTGGAGGAGTGCACTGCAATGGAAGTGACGACTGGGTCATGGATAAATGACAAAGAAAACATTTCAGTGCATCATAACATGCTGATCTCATAGGCTGATTGCAGGGCCAGGCAGTAAATACACTGCAGGAAAATCTTAGTAAATTAGATTTGCTCTAGATCGCTTGCTAGGTTAGATAAAGCTTGAAAGTCACTTTGCAGTAAAGCTGTGGTTCAAACGTGCTACTTGTTTTAGCTAATACCACTTCAAAACACCACTAGGAACTTCGTGGCATTACTTTCCACTAAGAAAAATACAAGAGGATGTGATTCATGCCTTGGATAATTTAAAATACGTGTGGGATGTGGAACAAAAGTGCGCACTCTCCCTGACTGCTTGGCACACAGGACCTGCTGGAGTGTGGTGCAGCTTCCTTCTGACCTGCAGCATCTTGTGCTCTTTCCCATGGGAACTGAGGATTTGACAGGGAGTCCTCGGGTCTCTTCTTATCAGGCAGTGGAGGTGTAGGAAGAGCACAATTCCCTAGTGCAGACCTGCTCCAGACCAATTTATGCTGTTTGTAACTCCTACCAGACAACGGCAGGTCTATCCCAGCGACCACTATGAGTCAGCTGTTTTTTGCAGGTACCACAGAGGAGGACGGACTTTGGGATGCAGGTCCGGGAATTACTGTGGGATATGGAGCAGAGATAGTCGTGGGGGGAGCATGCGGGTAGCTAGTGATGGTAAGAGCTTTTGAGTTAGCAGAATCATAGAATCACAGAATGGTTTGGGTTGGAAGGGACCTTAAAGATCATCCAGTTCCAACCCCCCTGCCATGGGCAGGGACACCTTCCACTAGACCAGGTTGCTCAAAGCCTCATCCAGCCTGGCCTTGAACACTTCCAGGGATGGGGCATCCACAGCTTCTCTGGGCAACCTGTTCCAGTGCCTCACCACCCTCTCCAGGAAGAATTTCTTCCTGATATCTAATCTAAACCTCCCTGCTTTCAATTTAAACCTGTTACCCTGGGTTTAAGAAATGGACTTTATCATGGCAGGAAGCTGTAATGAGTACGTAGGGATTTTTAAGTGCTGTGGGAAAGAAGCAAAACTTTCATTCAAGTTGTTCTGCTGCATGCCTACAAAAGGGGAAGATTTTTAGAGGCTTTGCAACCTCCCTGAAGTAATGCCTCCTACTTTGGGATGAGTGTTCTGTCAGTGTTTTAGGGAGGAATAACAACAGTAATAAGGATAATACAATATTATTCTGATAGTAAATATCATAAAAGTTTAATTTTCAGTCATTGTTTACAGACAGCTACATATTATAAGGTAATAGTGATTTTCAAATTGTGCTTAATATTATGTAGATTTTAAAATTTACATTTACATTTGCATTTTTTGCACTTATTTTCAAGTTCTTTTGCTATACTTTCTTCCTTTAAATAAGCAGCACGTGACCCTATTCATTCTTTTTTTTAAGAACTATTAAGGTATTCACAAAAATAAGTGATATGCTGCCTGAATGTTCATTAGGTGTTCATCAGTCTTGTTCTTTAGTAGTACCTGGGTAAAGAATGTAGCAATAACATTACATCTAATCTTTTGAACTTGATAAAGAATGTAGCAATAACATTACATCCTGTAATCTTTTGAACTTGACTTTGAAAGTATATCTAATTTTTTAAGTTGTTTCTGTTTGTTTTATCATTTAGGATATGTTGAAGAACACTAATAAAGGCCATCCCGACAGATTACCTCTGCAGATGGCTCTTACAGAACTCGAAACACTGGCAGAGAAGTTAAACGAAAGGAAAAGGGATGCAGATCAGCGCTGTGAAATAAAACAGATAGCAAAAGCAATGAACGAACGTTATCTGAACAAGGTTAGGAAGCGAAAATGTGTGATGGACGAGTTCGTCTGTTAGTTTCTGGGCCTTGAGCAATCTTTAGACTGGACACCAAAGAGACCCCTGAGGTTTTTCTGTAGTGCACAACACCACTAAGAGGCGGTCCACCTTTTGTCAGCCTATATAAACTGTAAAATCTTGTATGTTCTGTGCAAGGGGGAAAAACTGAGATATACTTGGATAGCCACTCCAAATCACATTAGGGCCCTGTGTGCCTTGTGGCTTAACAGTTTTGAAACAACGGCGGGCAGGGTGAAGGGAACAGGTGAGTTACAGGCTGTTTTGTTCCCTCAGCCACTACAGAGGTGTTTTTGACCTATGAGGAATCAGTTGATGCTTGCGCACAGTGCTGATCCTCAGCCCTGGAAGGCAAACAGCAGGAGCAGTTTAGATGCCAGACATCTTTTGTGCATGTTATCTTCTTGGCAGCCTGTGGCAACCTGCCAGCCACACTGCTCAGCCAGCTCTGTGAGCCCAGGTGGGCAGAGCAGGCAACAGTGCTCTTCCTCCTGCTCTGGGTCTGCTGGGACCATGCACAGCACTTCAATGGGCGGTGAAAGGAGGGATGAGGGAAGGAAACAACAGAAATTTGGGAAGCTATGATTTTTTTCACTAGGGAACCTTTATCAGTGTGGAAGATTTTCAGACCATTTATGTTCCATGCTAAGACCGAACCCCCCAGCAGGCCATATTGCTGGCAGCAGAAGTTACAGTTTCTCTAAATGAAAAGCAGATTAGTAGAGAGGCTTAATTCTTCATTTGGCAAATCCAGCTGTGAACACTTGTGTTGCGGTTTAACTCCGGCTAGCA